TGTGTGTGGTGTGTGTGTGTGTGTGTGGTGTGTGTGTGTGTGTGTGTGTGGTGTGTGTGTGTGTGGTGTGTGTGTGTGTGGTGTGTGTGTGTGTGGTGTGTGTGTGTGTGTGGTGTGTGTGTGTGTGGTGTGTGTGTGTGTGTGGTGTGTGTGTGTGTGTGTGTGGTGTGTGTGTGTGTGTGTGTGTGTGTGTGGTGTGTGTGTGTGTGTGTGGTGTGTGTGTGTGTGTGTGTGTGTGTGTGTGGTGTGTGTGTGTGTGGTGTGTGTGTGTGTGGTGTGTGTGTGTGTGTGGTGTGTGTGTGTGTGTGTGTGGTGTGTGTGTGTGTGTGTGTGTGGTGTGTGTGTGTGTGGTGTGTGTGTGTGTGGTGTGTGTGTGTGTGTGTGGTGTGTGTGTGTGTGTGGTGTGTGTGTGTGTGTGTGGTGTGTGTGTGTGTGTGTGTGTGGTGTGTGTGTGTGTGTGGTGTGTGTGTGTGTGTGTGTGGTGTGTGTGTGTGTGTGGTGTGTGTGTGTGTGTGTGTGTGTGTGGTGTGTGTGTGTGTGTGTGGTGTGTGTGTGTGTGGTGTGTGTGTGTGTGTGTGTGTGTGTGGTGTGTGTGTGTGTGTGTGGTGTGTGTGTGTGTGGTGTGTTTCTTTTTGCGTTGATAACAACACAAAGGTTCCTGAAAGTAAGCAACATTTGAGACGAACTGCTGGAGCGTTGAGGCTCTTGCTGTATCATTCACAAGTAGATCGTAAGCACCGCTGTAGCCTTGCTGTGTTTTGTAACTGGTCTTGCTGCTGCTGGCTGTATCCTGAACCATCAGCACCCACGTATCCCATGATTAATATCAATGGTTTTCACATCGAATACATCATGCATCTGATAACATTACAAAATCTCTCACATTCATTCTCTCATTTACTTCACCTTCGTCCCTGCTCTCCCTACGCCCGTCCCCTTGCACTGGACCCTCCCTTCATCGTTCCCCCAACTCATTGAATTGGAAATCCGTAGCAGGTTTGCACGTCGTCATCCGCGACTTCCTTCTCGCATCCTGACCAGTAATCCTTCATCCTTCTCACCGTCCGTCCATTCTGCACACTTCCTCTCCCTCTCCACGGTGCACCCCAGACGCTCAGCGCACACCTTTTCATCATCCCACATTCAGGAGCATGCAACTGCCCTCTCAACGGAGGATTTCGTCTTGTCGGGTCATTTGTATATACAGTATGTATGCACAAGTATCAGAAGCATCGTAATTTGCACCAGTAATATTGTAAGAGCACGAGGACATCTCTTTCACAGCTGTACAAAAAGCAAGGTCACTCAGAAGGAATGCCTGCAGAAGCACAGTCTCAAAGCACTTATCAGTTGATGCCTCACCGCAAGTACAGTACTTCGCAATCACAAGTATGGCAGCACTCAAGTAGTTGGACAGATATTGATCATCTGGCCGCGCCTGGGACAAGGGAGCACGACAGCGTAGAAGACAGCATCCACCAACTCTTCTCCGCACAAGAACGAGGCCAAAGTCTGGTCTGTCACTGATGCAGCTCCTGTTACAGACGACTACTACGTGGTGTACTCTGACCTGGACCTTGGTCTGCACCACCCATCCCTCTCCGACCTGGCCTACGCCCGTGTCTCGCCAAGAGCCATGTCGCCACCGGCCAAGCCTCCAGTGCCAACCTTCGGGGAACGGAAAAGGTCGGCACCCTCCAAAGTGTCCCTGGCCCCGTCGCCCCCACGCCGCATATCGTCCAAGTGGCACCCGTCCCTCATGAAGGCCTACAAGGACCGACCTCCCATCCCTTCCCCGCGGTCCACCTCGGCCGAGCGAGTGCGAGAGACGCGAGCTCTGTATTCCACGTGGCATCGCGAGAAGGTCGCCCGCTCCAGGGAGAAGCTGGGCTCCTCTCCTGCCAGAACCAATTCCCTGGGACGAACATCCTCGTCAGCCAAGCAATCCAGCGAGGTTCGGGAGAACTTCCTGAAGGAGCGTCGTGCTGTTTCAGAGTCACGGTTTACTCTCGAAGATCGTGAGAAATCGCCACCTCGAAGAACTCCTTCGCCCCCCAAGGCTAGTTCCCCCGTCAGACAGGCCGATGGTCGTGAAAAACTGCACCATAGAGCCTCCTTGAAAGATGTATCGCCAGACAAAGCAGGGACATACAGGATCAAGGTTCAGGAGCCACTTGTAACCAAAGGCCACAGCCGGTCGCTCAGTGCTGATGCACAGAGAAAATGGTCCAACACCTCAACAGAGAGCGGGATGTATAGTGTCACACGACACACAGTGAGTAGCATGAATAAGATCAGAAGACCCTCGCAGCAAAATGCGGTTGACAGCCGAAGTAGCAGTGCAGATGCCACCTGCAGGAGGAGACGAAGCAGCTGCTTATCCCCAGAGCCACAGCTAGCTTCCAGGAAATCGCCAGTAGGTCGGAAGGACAGCCGTCACAGAGAGTCACCCTATTCAGATGTGTCTCTGGAAGTTGCTGATGACAAGAAGCTAAAACAGAGTGAAAGCTTTGACACAACCCAGAGTAATGAGACAGGGTACTCCAGCATGCTCGACCTTTCACCCTCACCAGTGCCAGACAGGAGGACCGAGGAGCGTCGAGCAAGGAAAAAGTCAGAATCTCCAGTGCGACCTCACTCGGCCCCTACCCCGAGGCGCTCTCGCTATTCGCACTCCTTCAGCGAACAGAGGAACAAGTGGGAGGCCATAACACGGGGCGAGGCTGTGGGTCGCAGGTCTCGTAGCCCGTCAAGGAGCACATCGCCTCTTCGGTCCCTCCAGCTGGTGCGGCAAGTGAGCAGCAGCTTCAGGAACATTCCAGCAGAAGTCTTTTCAGAGTCACGTCGGAGTAAGAGTCTGGAGGTACTGACCCCCTCGCCACACTCTCACCCCCAGCGCTATCGCCAATACATCCTGGAACTTCGAAACGCTGCTCCCCGCAATGCTCGCATCTCACAGCTACGGCGCCTGTTTACATCGCTTGAGCGAGTCCATCGCCTCGAGCGCTCGGTGAGTACCGTGGAGCTCTCAGCAGCAGATAATCGCGCCCATGAAATTATAGATTTCGAGACATGGAAGAGTATGCGTGAAAAGGAAAGAAAGGCTCTTGAATATAATGTACTCCTGAAGGAACTGAATGTGGCTCAGAAGGAGCGAGAGTTCCTTTATAAAGTGACTCCGGAGAAGAAATGGGCCGGTGACTGCCGACTTCGAGGCCGTGACGTGAGTGTCCCAGAGCTTCGTGAGAAATTTGATTCACTCACAGATAACAGTTCCGAGATCTCCCAGAAGCGACGCCAGGAGTTAGAGAACTCCAAGGACACGTACCGAGGACTGTGGCGTGGCTCCTCGGTCCGGGATGTGTCGCGGATGTACGAGAGTCCCGAGCGAAGCCGCAGTAGCAGGCGCGGTTCTAGTCTGAGTCTTTCACGTGAAGACTCGGGTATAAGAGCTCGTGGCCTTTGGACCAGCCTCAGCCTGGAGCAAGTCAATGCCTTTCGTGACCACCTCTCGGAAATCTACGGCTCCATGCAGAATGTCCGCTCTTGGCGAGAGAGGAAGCAGATGAGCATGGAGAGGTCACCCAACAAGAGTCAACGTGAGCTTGCCAAATACAGCGTGGACGTCTCAGAGACCGGGCGCGTCCTGGCAGATAAGCTGCGGACCCTGCACGTGCGCCCGCCGCCAGAGTCCACCCGAAGGCCTCCCTCCAGGCATTCATCACCTCCAAGGGCTGCGAAGAGTTCCGGTAATGTTCATCAGTACGAGGATCAGCGACGTCAGCTCTCAAAGCAGCTGTCCATAGAATTCCAGGAGAAGGTAAAGGAGCAGAAGTCGGGTCGTCGACTGGAATCGACACCCGCCATGCTGGACAGTCTGCAAGTGCCGGAGCATCCGACGTCGGTCAGTCCAGAGAGTCTGTCTCGCTCCTCGCCCCGCACCTGTTACTCCCTTGACATCTCGGACTCGTCGGAGCCCAACTCGCTGAACTCTGGCGACCAGTTCCTCCTCGTGGTCCAGAAGCCCGGAGGCCACGGCCGCAGCAACAGTCTCCCCCCGGAGCAGGGGAGCGAGGCCGACTCGAGTGATTCCGAAATGTCCGTCCGAACCGTCGTCCACAAGGATGTCGCAGGAAAGGTCAAGTTCTTTGAAAAACGAGCTCGACGTAACTCCAGGTCGTCAGAGCGGCATTCCTCCCGCGGAAGCCGCCTCAATATCGATGAGGTTCCCCATTACGCAACTCTTCCGTCTCGCCTGAAGCAACAGTCTCAGAACAAACTGTTTTCACCCAACTACCTGCCCGAGAGGTCGGTTTCGTCTGTCAACTTAGCAAACAAGGGGGAATTATCGTGGCGAATTTATGACAAGGCCAATCCAGTGAGCTCTTCCTCGATTCAGCGTCTGTCTGATCAGCCAAAAGACAAGCGAGAGCAGGTGGATCCCACTTCTCACTCTCGCTCGTACCTTTACCACGTGAAGACCGGCGACGTGAACCGCCTGAAGGATCGCTTCGAGAGTCCTGAGGATGCCCGTCGTCGCGCGCGCTCCCTGCCGGACATGAACGGTTCTTTGTCACGCGTCACGCCCTCGGGGAAGACTGTGGTACGAGGCCAGGAGGCAGGGGACGTGCAGTACATGCGCGCCAAGTACGAAGCGCCCAGGCGGTCGCGCAGCCCCGAGCGATGGCAGCCGAGTCGCGACGAATACTTGCCCAAATCTAAGCTGACGAACACCCTTCAGTCCCTGGCGTCCCGTTCGCCGGCATTCTGCGAGCCAGCGACCGTGGAGAGGCTGGCACGCCGAGACTCCGTCGAGAAAGCAGTGTTACGGCGCGTCCACACGGGGAATGTGGAAGCCTCCGTCGATCGCTTGGAGAGCCAGCAGACAGGATCCGGTGTATCTATTATCGGCCAGATGTACACCTCTGCGCCCTCGGTAAATGAACTGGCGAACATATCAACCCTGGTCCCCCCGCGGCCGCCGCCGCCGCTCATGGGGC